ATACCGGCGGGTGCAAAAGGAGCAGCTACGCCTGAACTGTAGGATGTTTTGGATACTCCTACCACAAAATGGAAGTCACAATAACATTTTTTTGCAGTAGAATAATTAACCTCTTGAATCAGGATATTTCTCAATACTCTTACCAAAAAAATAACAACTTTTTTTGTAGTGGAATAATAAACCTCTTGTTCGATGGTTTAGCATATAATACGAGCGGACATTTAGTTTGCCCATGCATTGCTCGTATTTTCCTCGGGCTCGTAATTTCAAATCGATTATTGATTTGAAATTACTCGCCCGATTACTCCCTGAATTGTGCTCCACTCAGTCCTATTACCATTTCTAATTCTCATGACCTTTCCCTTGCTAATGTTCTGATTTTGTTAGCAGAAAATTGATGTTGATCACTCTTAGGTCTTAAAGGGTCAAGGCCTACTTACCCGATATTCATCCACTGGAAATTCCATCAACTCAGAAAGGACCTGAAGATACAATAATTACCAATATAATAACCTACAACACTTTAGCTACGTGAAAATCAGTGAAATACTTTTTAAAGGCCTTTATGTCATGTATGATCTCTCCAATGTCCATTCCAGCAAAATTCATGCACTTCTCAAATGCCACGTGAAGAATCTTTCCCTGCCTATAAAATCCAGGATTTTTTAGTTGTAAAACTTTATAGCTAGTTTTAATTGATTTTTATTCTCTCTGCCTTAAAGAGGTCTCAAAACTGGTATTAGGTTCAGAAACACGTAATTATGGATCAAAGAAAAATTCACACCACAAAACCTTTTCAAGCTATTATTTTTTGTTTTAACTCATTTTTTCAATAATTGTCAAACATCTTGTTTTTTAACCTTGTCACTGAGATCAGCATCCACAGTATTTGTTCCATCATTCAGTTTCACAGTGACATTCCAGTTTGGTGACATTGGTTTGGAACGAGAAACAATGGTGGCAATATAAGCCTAAGAAAAGAAAATAATGATGGTATGGTGAAAAGAACTGTCCTGGAAATGAGCTTCACTTGACCTGAGAGAGTCAGTGGGGGAAATCGAGCCTATCATAAAAGGAAAAGCATAGCTTTAACTGGTTGGGTCACAGTTTGGGCAGAGGGTAAACAAAACCAGCACTGGCAAATTCCTTTCAGGGTTTGTGGTTTTGGGACTTGGGCAATCCCCTGACGGGAGGAAGTGGAAGGAATCATGCAGTTTAAGACTTCCTTTACACCTCAAAATGAATGCAGCCCCTTGCAGACAAATCAGACAAAGTGTTTTACCTTCCCCTCACCCCTAGAAGTAAATGGTCATTTAGCATCTTCAAATTGCAGGGACAAAATTTGAAACAAAAATAAATAAGATGCACTACAAGCTAGATAGGATTAAATTCAGACCAAACCTACAAAAAAAGGAAACCTGACTGTAGGCTAGTAATCCACGATGTAAAAACACCAACCTTGACTCTGACAATCAGTTGTTCTTTGACTGGACATCTTTTCAAAACATTTGATAGGTACTCAAAGGGAGGTGGATTATATTCCAAATCTACAAGTTAAGTATAGTTTGCATAAAGAATAGTCAACAACAACAACAACAACAACAACAACAGCAACAAAAACAATAATAATAATAACAATAATGATAATGCTAATGATAAAGATAATAAAAATAATGATAATAATAAAGAATCTAAAGCAATTGAGGGGATACTAACGAAGCTAATATAAGAATCAAAGAGGGGTGCCGGTGGCTTAATGTAGAAAGTGATTTCTGTTTGATAAATTTCTGACCAAACTGGATTTAAAATGTCTTATTGACAAGAACACTTGTAGCAATGTAACGTTGAATGTGCTTTGTACCATTTACTTACCTTGTACTTCAAAATGCTTTGATTCATCATCAAGCATATGAAATGGGTGACTACCATGGGGAACGGTGTCAGTGATGATTGTGGAGTCAATACCCCTCTTCACTTGAAATGGTGATGCCTTTTTTGAGACCTCAGAGGGTTTTGCAATTATGCCTTTTGCTTTTGTTGAGGACAAAGGCTCTGTGTTTATCACATCATGACAAATAGGATAGTTTGTTTCTGTCTTGACAGAGTAAACATCATTTGATCGCAAAGAATTTCTGTTTGCTTCTACTCTATGATAAGAAGAATCTGAAGAACTTGAATTCCTAACATAACTGCTCGATTCAAGGGAAGTTATTCTTGCTTTCTTTGATTGATGCAACATTCCAATTCTTTGTTGAAGAGGTTTTATTTCCATATATTCTTCATCCTCCATAAGCAATTCATTTGGAACAAAATCATCCTCAAAAATTTCATCACCATCACACAACATCTCCACATCAACATTTTGAACATTTCTCGTGCTAGCATTTGGTTTCCTTTTTGCTGTAACAGTGTTGTTTGCACTTTGCAGTCCCAACTCTAACTGATCTATCTGTTCCATATCAAAGTCTTCATCAACGCCAAAATAATCTTCATCTGCGATGGCAGCAATTATGTCATCATCATCATCAAAGAAATCTTGATTGCTCACATCTTCCACTTTAATATTACTGTGGGAATTTGCAGACACAGTACTATTGACCGTCCTACTTTCATTTTGTCTTTTTTGTTTAATAACTGATCTCCCTCCACATTCAGAAACATTTCTTCTGTTGTTCCTCTGATCATTGCTAGTGGGTTCCACAGAGGAAGAATTTGTTGGATGGGTCTCTGTCTTAACAAGTGGCCTCTGATTATTATTAATGAAATCTCCAGCTGTACTATTTTCCGTGTTTACTGAATTAAGAGTGAACTCCTCATTGTCTATGCTTTCTGTTTTTATCATACCAGGCCGTTCAGGTGGGTCTTGCCCTCTATGAGAGAAAAATAGAGTTTTAGAGAACCTGTAATACTTATGAAATTTAATCTGTGCCACAAGTGAATGAAAAAAGTTTTAGGTGTGAGGTGGGTGTATGTTGAACAAAAAATTTGAAAAAGTGCAGACCTCAAAATTCTTCCTCATTGCTGAAATTTTATCTAAACAAGCAACCTCATATGGTTATTCAAAAAAGCTCTGACTGTGCACTTGGAAATCATAATGAATTATGACTGGTTAATTTTCAAAATCTTAACAAAATTAATAAAAAACATAGGCAAATAATCAGAATAATTATACTATTTATTCAGAAACAACCCACATGGCCTGATGAAGGACATTCCAATAAGAGTTTCCTTCCAACATCTGCACACTGCCACCTAAAACTCTAACATTGCTAGCTGTAAGTAGCAATGCTCCCAGACGGCAAGGTATGTTTCCACTCACTTGTATCTGAGAAAAGCAGTAAATGGTAATCAGGCTGTCATTAAGGGTTGGGGGCTGGGAATTTAACCCAGCTACTCTGAACATGGCAATTTGTACACTTGAACTATAATATTGTTTAACTGAAACAAAGAATTAGCAGACCAGCCCTAGAAAAATGCATGTCGACTAAATTAACAACCTTTGTTCCCGGAGGTGTGCTAACTTTGAGAGCTGGAATCAGTTGGTATTCCATGCCAAATACAGTCTGTGTTCCATCTGTCAGTTCAAGAAGTAGCATCCTACTAGACTTGATCTTTGGCTCTGAAGGCTGAAAATAAAGAAAAATATCCACTTTACATTGCATCCTTGCATTATATGATATAGTCAAAAGTAAATGTAGGTTACATGTATAAAGTGAGGTTGTTAATTCTGTCTATTACAGGCTGAAGTCCTTTAATAGTGGGGAGGGGCAAATGGTTGGTCCAAGAGTTACTGGTTGTTTCAGCACTTTGGGTCTGGAGAATCAACAGGGCAGTCGTTTAGGGGGGATTTTCCCAACTGTCTAAGAGCTAAGCTTAGCAACAGGAATCCCTAAAAGCGGAAATAGAAATCTCTATGTAGCCTGAGAGCATCCTGTTTTTTCGGCTCTAGTTTCATCCGCTGAGGTGGGAGAAGCGACGACCGCAAATACGTCTCCAGCTCACAGGCTAATCTCTATGGGACTTCTCCAAAACCTTTATAAAATTCTCCTCTTGAGTGAACTATTAAGTATTATAAAACTAAAAGGACAACAACAACAAAATAGCAAACCGGCCCAAGAAAAATAAAGGCAATTAAATTAACAACATTGCCTTCACATGAACACATGCCTTCGGGGCCAGCATATGCTCTACTGGTGCTTTACCAGCCAACTGGGTGTCCATCCCAAGAGTGACTGGCAAGTACGGAGGAACCAAGTAGCACTGGCATGAAAATGTTCAAAACTCAAGTGGAAACACAAGCTGTGGGCGAGTGGTTTCACTGCAAAGTTTTGAACATTTTGATGTCATTTCTATGGTCGATAAGAGTACAGAATGTGGAAAATTATTGTTGAATGGCAGTTTTCATGTCCATTTCCATTAAAGTTTCTTGAGAAAATTTGGTGCACGAGAAAGACAAAAATAAACTGTGCCACCATCACATCATATCAGGGTTTGTACTCTTATCAAACATAGCCCTCGACCAATCAGTCACTGAGAGATTAATAAGTTATCATAAAATGAGTTATGATCTACTTGAGAAAATGACAGAAAGTGTGAATAAAATTATATGATATACCAGTTACATGAAAAAATAATAACAATAATAATAAAATACATTACATTTCTTTTCCAGTTTAGATCTTCTGGGTCATCCTGACCTTTCATTTTTTGAATCTGAGAATAAGCTGACTCTCCAACATTCAGTATAGAATTGATCTACAATACAGATAAGAAAACACGTTTACTATGTGTAATTTCCAAGAGTGGTTTAGAGTAACTTCAGATTAATATAATTTCAAGTTTGGCAGACATTAAAAGTAGTAGTCTGGTTTTTAGAAAAGTAAAAATCTTGTTCCAGGAATCATAGTGCAATTAAGCCAGAGATTCTTGTAATGTCATCAAAATGTGTACTGTATTAGTAATCAGTGATAAACATAATCAATGAAAATTGATGTTATTTGTTGATCAATTCCCACTGATTACTAATGAAATGGATAACCAATGACACTCAATACTCACAAAAAAACATTGACTAACAATATCAATTGATTACTGATTAACATATAATCTATATCAGTTATTGATACCGATTGTCATCGATCATTCAGTTCATCGATTGTTCAGGCCCTACCCAACACACCCCAAAGCCTGCTTTTATGTCCCAGTCAATTCCAAAACCACCCATGCCCTCCCTCCTGGGCATTTGACTTCAGAAAAATTTGGGTCAAAATTTGGCAGTTTAGATGGTCAATGCCCTATGAGCTAGTGCTTCTAAATTGAAGCATGAGATTTTTCAGAGGCTCTCAAATGTCCATAACAAGATGGTGCAATGAACATTGGAGCAGTGACCCGTGAACCCAACGCACGTGCACAATGAAAGAATTATGAAATCCTTTTGCTTGCGATGCTGATCAGTGTTTCGACATGAAAGTTAAATACCTGACCAGGCAAGCCTCACTTGGATCAAGTGCAGAGCAAAACTTCAGTCAAATGTCCGGGTATGGCAAGGGTTGGGGGGTGGGGGGGTGGGGGGAAGGCAGTTTTGGAACAGACCATTTAACAGTTGTGGACTTAGTACCCTAGCCTTCGAGTGAATGTGAGGCTGATAGTGACCTTGTTTTGATACAAACCTCCTTTTCTTTGTTATAGAAATTGTCCATGAAAAATACTAGTTGGCATAAGAATAACTTGATTTACATAATAAAGCAGGAAGGTTTGTATCAAAAAAAGGTCAAATCCAGCCTCGCTTCCATAGGTAACTGTAAAATGGCCTATTGAGACTTTGTATGTATGTCCACTCTATGTCTCGGAACGAGGGAATTGACTGGTACTTATCATACATTAGCTTTAGACGAGAGAGCACAAACATGAATGCAAATAGAGACCTGTAGGTTGAAATATCCCTCTAGTTTGCAGATATCCGTGTTACCGAGCCCCTCTGGTAAGCGAGGGAGACTAGATTCTTGAATTTCAGCCATCAGCCACTGCTCATACACCAGTTCGTTCAGTTGGGTAGATGTCAGCTGTCTCTCCTGTGATCGATTCATTGCAGTTTAGACAATATATTAAGTGGTTAAACTCCAAAAGTAATGAAGAAGACGAATGCAAACCTCGTTATCTTCCTTGACAAAGCTTATGCATGCCTCAAGCCATTCATTTTGTGTGTAGACATGTCGAGATTCTAACAACCGACGAACCGACGCCATTTTGAAAATCAGCGCGGGAAACTTACGCATACGCTTTAGCATGGACATGACGTTTAAGCCGAGTGGCTCTGGGACGAGAATGTTGTCGAGGGCGGCCATATTTGTTGATGGATACCAAACATCTTTGCTCTTAGGTGAAAAAATTTTATTTCGAAGCAGAAGCTGACAGGATGCTGCAGTCAGTCCATCTCGTTGGGGAGGATGAAGATGATCTTTACAGTGGCTTTAATGAGTACAATCCAGCTTTTGACACCGAGGTGAGGATCAGACGTTCGCATGCATATGATTTTTTGTGCACATCGATGATTCAGCTGAAAACAACATAGGCTTTAAAACTTATGTTGTTTTCAGCTTATATTAGGAAGAGCTTAAATTTGATCGATTTTTCTTTTCCTGTCTTTATAGAATTAAAATTAACCAGGGAAGTTTTTCCTACTGTAGATTAGATTTCAGTACTAAAAAAAATTAAAGACTACATGTATGTACATCTAGCTGAATACTGCATGTATTCCTCACAAATGCTACTAAGGTTGAGAAATGGCCTACTGACCCCTTAATGAAGGTTCACCGTTTAACAAAGGTTTAAAAAACCTACGAGTTATTCAAGAAAATAAAAGTAGTGAAATAGTGAAATATCTATCCCACAACAAATTGACTTCAAATTAAAGTGTCCACCTCTTCTTCTCTTCTTCTCATGGTTTATCTTGTCATATCGATCAGTTAATAGAGGTAAAGTGAATTAAAAGTAACTTGTGAAAGGTTTGAACCCAGGAGTCATTTCAAAAGTAGGTTGAGTTTGAACATCTGAGTGAACTTAGTCCTGAATACGTTGGAGTCACTCTCAGTATTTTTGTTGTGGTTAACAGGACTGATATTAACGCCGGGGGCTGGGAATTGAATTTCCCCTGGTTTCTATGAACGTGGCCCCCGGCTACTTTCATTGGAAAATAGAAGAAAAACAGAACCAGAAGAAATCCCTAGCTCTTTGATTCCCCGCCTACTTGTTGTATTTACCTGGCACCTTGAAATCTTGGTGGCAGCCCTGGGTTAAAATCCTGTCAGAAACTATGATTCTCTACTTCCCTTACCCTTTTAACACAGTGAACAATGTTATATTATTCCCCCTCTCTTTTCATTGAAAACTGTAAAATTCATTTTATTATTAATCAATTGCAACAATATATGTACATGTTGATGTAAAATATAAAAAATTATAGCTGTAATTAGATTCTCAGAAGGTGAAATCTATCATATGCAATTAATACCTTCAATTGCATACATGCTGTGTAAATGTTAGTGTTTAATGGTTTCTAACTTGACAAATGTTGCTAATAAATTTCTTAGAACCTTGAGGAGGATGAAGAATTTCAACAAGCTCTAAAAACAAGTCATGGGCAGAGACCTGGTGTGGTAGGTGTTAAGACTGAAATAGAGTAATTTTAATTTTCAGTTTACAAAAACCCTGTTCCAGAATAATTTCAATCATACTGCATTCTTTTTTACACTTTTTGAGGGCTGTAAGTGTAACAAGTTGTATGAAATAACTCCAAAGAACAGTTCGTATGGGAGCCTGAGAAAGCAAACTTCAAAAGCTTTAAATTTCACAAATATTAATGAAATCTTATGCATGACGATTTTGCCTTCTTTTCTCAATTCCTGTGAAATTTGAAATTTATTTTCGTAGGCTCCCATAAGAACCTTTTTTTGAGTTATTTCATATAACATATCTCATTTATAGCCCTTGAAAAGTGTAAAAAAGAATGAAATATGGCTTAAAATATTCAGGTACAAGGTTTTTGTCCAATGAAAAACAAAATTTATTAATCAGTTTCCTGATGGATTCCATCCTAAAATTTTACTTTTACATTTTATATCCACTGTTTTAAAGTTGAACATCTAATACCTGTGAAATATTAAAAAAGTACAGATACCTGTGTAACAAATTCTAAAATCTGATTGACTACACCTGTACTTGTGTATTAATCAGTCCTAATAATAATTTCATTTTTTATTGGACAATTTATATGTCCTATATTTATTTTGTTACATAGGTTTTTTTTTTCATGTGGACAATCAATCTAGTTTATTGAAATTTCAACTCTTTTAAGAACTTTAAGTTCCTCTGAATGGTTTTCATTCTTGATAATGATGTTCGAAACATCAAAACTTTGAATAGCATTCTTCAGTTTAATTTTTCTTGATAAAAATTTGTTGATAATCCTTTTATAATGTTAACACAACATCTCAACTGTTACTTTGCTCATGTTTATTACAGAAAACTGGAATGAAGATAACAACATCAGCTGGGGTATGTGTGTATTTGAATCCTCAAGATAACCCTTAAACAGTCACACATCACTTTGATGTGTACATGTACTTGTTTAAAGGGTTAATAAGCAAGACAAATTTACTTGTAATGTCCTATGACACCCCAAAGTTTGCTGTTCTAGTGTAAAGGCTTCCAATATCCGAGGCTTTCTTTGTATACCGGCGGGTGCAAAAGGAGCAGCTACGCCTGAACTGTAGGATGTTTTGGATACTCCTACCACAAAATGGAAGTCACAATAACATTTTTTTGCAGTAGAATAATTAACCTCTTGAATCAGGATATTTCTGAATACTCTTACCAAAAAAATAACAACTTTTTTTGTAGTGGAATAATAAACCTCTTGTTCGATGGTTTAGCATATCATACGAGCGGACATTTAGTTTGCCCATGCATTGCTTGTATTTTCCTCGGGCTCGTAATTTCAAATCGCTTGTTGATTTGAAATTACTCGCCCGATTACTCCCTGAATTGTGCTCCACTCAGTCCTCTTACCATTACTAATTCTCATGACCTTTCCCTTGCTAATGCTCTGATTTTGTTAGGAGAAAATTGATGTTGATCACTCTTAGGTCTTAAAGGGTCAAGGCCTACTTACTCGATATTCATCCACTGGAAATTCCATCAACTCAGAAAGGACCTGAAGATACAATAATTACGAATATAATAACCTACAACACTTTAGCTACGTGAAAATCAGTGAAATACTTTTTAAAGGCCTTTATGTCATGTATGATCTCTCCAATGTCCATTCCAGCAAAATTCATGCACTTCTCAAATGCCACTTGAAGAATCTTTCCCTCCCTATAAAACCCAGGTTTTTTAGTTGTAAAACTCTATAGCCAGTTTTAATTGATTTTTATTCTCTCTTCCTGAAAGAGGTCTTAAATAACTGGTATTAATATAGGTTCAGAAACACGTAATTATGGACCAAAGAAACATTCACACCACAAAACCTTTTCAAGCTATTATTTTTTGTTTTAACTCATTTTTTCAATAATTGTAAAACATCTTGTTTTTTTAACCTTGTCACTGAGATCAGCATCCACAGTATCTGTTCCATCATTCAGTTTCACAGTGACATTCCAGTTTGGTGACATTGGTTTGGAACGAGAAACAATGGTGGCAATATAAGCCTAAGAAAAGAAAATAATGATGATATGGTGAAAAGGGATGTCCTGGAAATGAGCTTCACTTGACCCAAGAGAGGGGCAGAAATTGAGCCTATTACAAAAGAAAAAGCTTAGCTTTAACTGGTTGGGTCACAGTTTGGGCAGACGGTAAACAAAATCAGCACTGGCAAATTCCTTTCTGGGTTTGTGGTTTTGGGACTTGGGCAATCCCCTGATGGGAGGAAGTGGAAGGAATCATGCAGTTAAAGACTTCCTTTACACCTCAAAATGGATGCAGCCCCTTGCAGACAAATCAGACAAAATGTTTTACCTTCCCCTCACCCCTAGAAATAAATGGTCATTTAGCATCTTCAAACTGCAGGGACAAAATTTGAAACAAAAATAAATAAGATGCACTACAAGCTAGATAGGATTAAATTCAGACCAAACCTACAAATTAAGGAAACCTGACTGTCGGATAGTAATCCACGATGTAAAAACACCAACCTTGACTCTAACAATCAGTTGTTCCTTGACTGGAAATCTTTTCAAAACATTTGATAGGTACTCAAAGGGAGGTGGATTATATTCCAAATCTACAAGTTAAGTATAGTGTGCATAAAGAATAGTCAACAACAACAACAACAATAATAATAATAATAATGATAATGATAATGCTAATGATAAAGATAAAGATAAAGATAAAGATAATAAAAATAATGATAATAATAAAGGATCTACAGCAAAATTATTGAGGGAATGCTAAAGAAGCTAATATAAGAGCCTAAGAGGGGTTCAGGTGGCTTAATGCAGAGTGTGATATCTGTTAGATAAATGTCTGACCTAAATGGATTTTTAATGTCTTATCGACAAGAACATCTGTAGAAATGTAACGTTGAATGTGCTTGGTGCCATTCACTTACCTTGTACTTCAAAATGCTTTGATTCATCATCAAGGATGTGAAATGGGTGACTGGCGTGAGGAACATTGTCAGTGATCATTGTGGAGTCAATACCCCTCTTCACTTGAAATGGTGAAGCCTTTTTTGAGACCTCAGAGGGTTTTGCAATTATGCCTTTTGCTTTTGTTGAGGACAAAGGCTCTGTGTTCATCAAATCACGACAAATAGGATAGTTTGTTTCTGTCTTGACAGAGGTAACATCATTTGATTGCAAAGAATTTCTGTTTGCCTCTACTCTGTGATAAGAAGAATCTGAAGAACTTAAATTCCTAACATGACTGCTGGATTCCAGGGAAGTTATTCTTGCTTTCTTTGATTGATGCAACATTCCAATTCTTTGTTGAAGAGGTTTTATTTCCATATATTCTTCATCCTCCACAAGCAATTCATTTGGAACAAAATCATCCTCAAAAATGTCATCACCATCACACAACATCTCCACATCGACATTTTGAACATTTCTTGTGCTAGCATTTGGTTTCCTTTTTGCCGTAACAGTGTCGTTTGCACTTTGCAGTCCTAACCCTAACTGATCTATCTGTTCCATGTCAAAGTCTTCATCAACGCCAAAATAATCTTCATCTGCAATAGCGGCAATTATGTCATCATCATCATCAAAGAAATCTTGATTGCTCACATCTTCAACTTTAATATTACTGCGGGAATTTGCAGACACAGTACCATTGACCATTCTACTTTCATTTTGTCTTTTTTGTTTAATAACTGATCTCCCTCCACAATTAGAAATGTTTCTTGTGTTGTTCCTCTGATTATTGCTAGTAGGTCCCACAGACGAAGAATTTGTGCGAGTCTCTGTCTTAACAAGTGGCCGCTGATTATTATTAATGAAATCTCCAGCTGTACTATTTTCAGTGTTTACTGTATCAAGAGTTAGCTCCTCATTGTCTATGTTTTCTGTTTTTATCATACCAGGCTGCTCAGGTGGGTCTTGCCCTCTATGAGAGAAAAATAGAGTCTTAGAGAACATGTAATACTTATGAAATTTAATCTGTATCAGAGGTGAATGAAAAAACCTTTAGGTGTGAGGCGGGTGTATGTCAAACAAAAAATTTGAAAAAGTGCAGACGTCAAAATTCTTCCTCATTGCTGAAATTTTATCTAAAAAAGCAACCTTATGTGGTTATTCAAAAAAGCTCTGAATGTGCACTTGGAAATCATAATGATTATTACTGGTTAATTTTCAAAATCTTAACAAACAAAAAACATAGGCAAATAATCAGAAGAATTATTCTATTTTTTCATAAACAACCTACATGGCCTGATGAAGGACATTCCAATAAGAGTTTCCTTCCAACATCTGCACACTCCCACCTAAAACTCTAACATTGCTAGCTGTAAGTAGCAATGCTCCCAGACGGCAAGGTATGTTTCCACTCACTTGTATCTGAGAAAAGCAGTAAATGGTAATAAATAAATAAATAAATAAATAAATAAATAATAAATAATGACGATTTGGAGGTAGCACATCCACAAAGTGGTTCTTCATCTACCTGATTCCTGGTCGAATTGGAATTTGGAAATGTTAGTTTTTGAGGAGAGGGGAAAACCGGAGTACCCAGAGAAAATCCTCTCGGAGCAAGGGAGAGAACCAACAACAAACTCAACCCACATATGGTGTCGACGCCTGAATATGAACCTAGGCCACACTGGTGGGAGGCGAGCGCTGTCACCACTGTGCCATCCCTAGCTCAGGCTCTCATTAAGGGCTGGCTACTCTGAACATGACAATTTGTACACTTGGACTACAATATTGTTAACTGAAACAAAGAATTAGCAGACCAGCCCTAGAAAATGCATGTCGAATAAATCAACAACCTTTGTTCCAGGAGGTGTGCTAACTTTGAGAGCTGGAATCAGTTGGTATTCCATGCCAAATACAGTCTGTGTTCCATCTGTCAGTTCAAGAAGTAGCATCCTACTAGACTTGATCTTTGGCTCAGAAGGCTGAAAATAAAGAAAAATATCCACTTTATATTGCATCCTTGTATTATATGATATAGTCAAAAGTAAATGTAGGTTGCATGTATAAGCACTCCAACAATTAAGACAGATAATGTCCGACTTCAGGAAATTATCACCCCTCCCCGTTTACCAACCAGGTTCTCAATGACCAACAAAGTCGTGAAACCCAGACCTCTTAGTTGTCCCGTCAGCAAATCCCGGGATTTTCCCAACTGTCTAAGAGCTAAGCTTAGCAACAGGAATCCCTAAAAGCGGAAATAGAAATCTCTATGTAGCCTGAGAGCATCCTGTTTTTTCGGCTCTAGTTTCATCCGCTGAGGTGGGAGAAGCGACGACCGCAAATACGTCTCCAGCTCACAGGCTAATCTCTATGGGACTTCTCCAAAACCTTTATAAAATTCTCCTCTTGAGTGAACTATTAAGTATTATAAAACTAAAAGGACAACAACAACAAAATAGCAAACCGGCCCAAGAAAAATAAAGGCAATTAAATTAACAACATTGCCTTCACATGAACACATGCCTTCGGGGCCAGCATATGCTCTACTGGTGCTTTACCAGCCAACTGGGTGTCCATCCCAAGAGTGACTGGCAAGTACGGAGGAACCAAGTAGCACTGGCATGAAAATGTTCAAAACTCAAGTGGAAACACAAGCTGTGGGCGAGTGGTTTCACTGCAAAGTTTTGAACATTTTGATGTCATTTCTATGGTCGATAAGAGTACAGAATGTGGAAAATTATTGTTGAATGGCAGTTTTCATGTCCATTTCCATTAAAGTTTCTTGAGAAAATTTGGTGCACGAGAAAGACAAAAATAAACTGTGCCACCATCACATCATATCAGGGTTTGTACTCTTATCAAACATAGCCCTCGACCAATCAGTCACTGAGAGATTAATAAGTTATCATAAAATGAGTTATGATCTACTTGAGAAAATGACAGAAAGTGTGAATAAAATTATATGATATACCAGTTACATGAAAAAATAATAACAATAATAATAAAATACATTACATTTCTTTTCCAGTTTAGATCTTCTGGGTCATCCTGACCTTTCATTTTTTGAATCTGAGAATAAGCTGACTCTCCAACATTCAGTATAGAATTGATCTACAATACAGATAAGAAAACACGTTTACTATGTGTAATTTCCAAGAGTGGTTTAGAGTAACTTCAGATTAATATAATTTCAAGTTTGGCAGACATTAAAAGTAGTAGTCTGGTTTTTAGAAAAGTAAAAATCTTGTTCCAGGAATCATAGTGCAATTAAGCCAGAGATTCTTGTAATGTCATCAAAATGTGTACTGTATTAGTAATCAGTGATAAACATAATCAATGAAAATTGATGTTATTTGTTGATCAATTCCCACTGATTACTAATGAAATGGATAACCAATGACACTCAATACTCACAAAAAAACATTGACTAACAATATCAATTGATTACTGATTAACATATAATCTATATCAGTTATTGATACCGATTGTCATCGATCATTCAGTTCATCGATTGTTCAGGCCCTACCCAACACACCCCAAAGCCTGCTTTTATGTCCCAGTCAATTCCAAAACCACCCATGCCCTCCCTCCTGGGCATTTGACTTCAGAAAAATTTGGGTCAAAATTTGGCAGTTTAGATGGTCAAATGCCCTATGGGCTAGTGCTTCTAAATTGAAGCATGAGATTTTTCAGAGGCTCTCAAATGCCCATAACAAGATGGTGCAATGAACATTGGAGCAGTGACCCGTGAACCCGACGCACGTGCACAATGAAAGAATTATGAAATCCTTTTGCTTGCGATGCTGATCAGTGTTTCGACATGAAAGTTAAATATCTGACCAGGCAGGCCTCACTTGGGTCAAGTGCAGAGCAAAACTTCAGTCAAATGTCCAGGGTATGACAAGGGTTGGGGGGTTGGGGGGTTTTGGGGGTGGGGGGAAGGCAGTTTTGGAACAGACCATTTAACAGTTGTGGACTTAGTACCCTAGCCTTCGAGTGAATGTGAGGCTGATAGTGACCTTGTTTTGATACAAACCTCCTTTTCTTTGTTATGGAAATTGTCCACGAAAAATACTAGTTGGCATAAGAATAACTTGATTTACATAATAAAGCAGGAAGGTTTGTATCAAAAAAAGGTCAAATCCAGCCTCGCTTCCATAGGTAACTGTAAAATGGCCTATTGAGACTTTGTATGTATGTCCAATCTATGTCTCGGAACGAGGGAATTGACTGGTACTTATCATACATTAGCTTTAGACGAGAGAGCACAAACGTGAATGCAAATAGAGACCTGTAGGTTGAAATATCCCTCTAGTTTGCAGATATCCGTGTTACCGAGCCCCTCTGGTAAGCGAGGAAGACTAGATTCTTGAATTTCAGCCATCAGCCACTGCTCATACACCAGTTCGTTCAGTTGGGTAGATGTCAGCTGTCTCTCCTGTGATCGATTCATTGCAGTTTAGACAATATATTAAGTGGTTAAACTCCAAAAGTAATGAAGAAGACGAATTCAAACCTCGTTATCATCCTTGACAAAGCTTATGCATGCCTCAAGCCATTCATTTTGTGTGTAGACATGTCGAGATTCTAGCAACCGACGAACTGCCGCCATTTTGAAAATCAGCGCGGGAAATTTACGCATGCGTATTAACATGGACATGACGTTTTTAGCCGAGTGGCTCTGGGACGAGAATGTTGTCGAGGGCGGCCATATTTGTTGATGGATACCAAAGTAATCTTTGCTCTTAGGTGAAAAAAATTAATTTCGAAGCAGAAGCTGACAGGATGCTGCAGTCAGTCCATCTCGTTGGGGAGGATGAAGATGATCTTTACAGTGGCTTTAATGAGTACAATCCAGCTTTTGACACCGAGGTGAGATCAGACGTTCCCAGGCATATGATTTTTTGTGCACATCGATGATTCAGCTGAAAACAACATAGGCTTTAAAGCTTATGTTGTTTTCAGCTTATATTAGGAAGTGCTTGAATTTGATCGATTTTTCTTTTCCTGTCTTTATAGAATTAAAATTAACGAGGGAAGTTTTTCCTACTGTAGATTAGATTTCAGTACTAAAAAAAATGAAAGACTACATGTATACATGTACATCTAGCTGAATACTGCATGTATCAAGTAGTCATTTGTGAGGAATGGCTTACTGGCCCTCAATGAAGGTTCACCGTTTAATGCAGGTTTAAAAAACCTACGAGTTATTCAAGAAAATAAAAGTGGTGAAATAGTGAAATATCTATCCCACAACAAATTGACTTCAAATTAAAGTGTCCACTTCTTCTTCTCTTCTTCTCATGGTTCATCTTCTCATATCGATCGTTTAATAGAGGTAAAGAGAATTAAAAGTAACTTGTGAAAGGTTTGAACCCAGGAGTCATTTCACAAGTAGGTTGAATTTTAACGTCCGAGTGAACGTAGTCCTGAATAGGACTGTTGTTAAGTTGACAGTGACTGACGTTTCGACAACCTGTGCGGTAGTCATCTTCGGAGTCAAAGTGAGTTGCATCACATCAGTTGATGGTATTATACTCTGGTTATTGATCTGATTGGTCAATTACGTCGCGATGTTATTGGTCGTCTGTCAGTTAAGCCATGATGTTATTAGCTATGAAGACTCGTAATCAGTAATTGGTGCGTTTCAATCCATCTATTGTCACAGTTAAACAGTTGTCTGTTGTTAGTCAAATTGCCAGTTCTCCAGTCGTTCTCTTGTAGTTAGTACTCTCGTAGGTAGTACTACGAGGCCACAAGCGTTTAATAGTGTTGACTGCTAAATACAGGTAACTTTTACAGTAATTTTTGGATATGATTTCAAGGACTTTGTATAAAGTGTCTGCATGAGTGTCTACTAAGAGTCTAAGAGAGGGTAACAGCTTCATAGAGGTTTGCTTATACAGGTTTCATTGTACTACAATGTTCATACACGTAATTTAAATGGAAGAATGTCACACCATGTAACAGGATAGTTTGGAACATAGAACATTTGTTTAGCAAACATATGTTGAAATGATGTATTTTGTTGATTAACTGCACAATTGTATCAGGGTTCTATTGCTATGACAGAGAGAAAAAAAAGGGAAAACGTTGGAGTCACTCTCAGTATTTTTGTTCTGGTTAACAGGACTGTTATCAACGCCGGGGGCTGGTAATTGAATTTCCCCTGGCTTCTATGAACATGGACCCCGGCTACTTTCATTGGAAAACAGAAGAAAAATAGAACCAAAAGAAGTCCCTAGCTGATTGATTCCCTGCCTACTTGTTGTATTTACCCAGTACCTTGAAATCTTGGTGACAGTCGTGGGTTAAAATCCTGTCAGAAACTATGATTCTCTACTTCCCTTACCCTTTTAACACAGTGAACAATGTTATATTATTCCCCCTCTCTTTTCATTGAAAACTGTAAAATTTATTTTATTATTAATCAATTGCAACAATATATGTACATGTTGATGTAAAACATAAAAAATTTATAGCTGTGATTAGATTCTCAGAAGGTGAAATCTATCATATGCCATTAATGCCTTCAATTGCATACATGCTGTGTAATGTTAGTGTTTAATGGTTTCTAACTTGACAAAATGTTGCTAATAAATTTCTTAGAACCTTGAGGAGGATGAAGAATTTCAACAAGCTCTAAAAACAAGTCATGGGCAGAGACCTGGTGTGGTAGGTGTTAAGACTGAAATAGAATAATTTTAATTTTCAGTTTACAAAAACCCTGTTCCAGAATAATTTCAATCATATTGCATTCTTTTTTACACTTTTCGAGGGCTATAAGTGTAACAAGTTGTGTGAAATAACTCCAAATAACAGTTCCTATGGGTGCCTGAGAAAGCAAACTTCAAAAGCTTTAAATTTCACAAATATTAAAGAAATACTATGCCTGATGATTTTGCCTTGTTTTCTCAATTCCTGTGAAATTTGAAAAGAACCTTTTTTTTAGTTATTTCATATAACATATCTCATTTATAGCCCTTGAAAAGTGTAAAAAAGAATGAAATATGGCTTAAAATATTCAGGTACAAGGTTTTTGTCCAATGAAAAACAAAATTTGTTAATCAGTTTCCTGATGGATTCCATCCTAAAATTTTACTTGTACATTTATATCCATCGTCTTAAAGTTGAACATCTAATACCCGTGAAATATTAAAAAAAGTACAGGTACCTGTGTAACAAATTCTAAAATCTGATTGACTACACCTGTACTTATGTATTAATCAGTCCTAATTTCATTTTTTATTGGACAGTTTATGTCCTATATAATTATGTTTTGTTACATAGGTTTGTGTTCTTTTTTTCTTTTATGTGGACAATCAATCTAGTTTATTAAAACTTCAACTCTTTTAAGAACTTCAAGTTCCACTGAATGGTTTTCATTCTTGATAATGATGTTTGAATATAATGAAACATCAAAACGTTGAATAACATTCTTCAGTTTAATTTTTCTTGATAAAAATTTGTTCATAATCCTTTTCTTAATGTTAACACAATGTCTCAACTGTTGCTGTGCTTCATGTTTATTACAGAAAACTGGGATGAAGATAACAACATCAGCTGGGGTAAGTCTGTATTTGTAGATCCCCAAGATAAGCCTAAAACAGTCAGACATCACTTTGATGTGTACATGTACTTGTTTAAAGGGTTAATAAGCAAGACAAATTTACTTGTAATGTCCTATGACACCCCAAAGTTTGCTGTTCTAGTGTAAAGGCTTCCAATATCCGAGGCTTTCTTTGAGAGCTAGGGGCCAGGAATTTTGCTTGGCTACATGTATAAGAAAGTGTGATTCCTGTCTAATTTTTCATTTTTTTCTATACTTCAAAAATCAGTTGGCTAGACCTGATTGGTGTTATTGGTAACAATTCATTACTT